ACACGCACCTTACAACCAGAATTGAAATAGGGATAAAAATCGGAAAGGACCGTACAGTGTTGCTCGAAGCGAACACCGTGGACTATTTAACAAACAAACTACAAGTAGTCAACTTAAGTGAAAGCGACATACGATCCCTCAAAGGAAGTCCAACAATTGATTTCCACAGTGAATGGAAGCAACCGGATATACTAATAGGAGCCAACCACTTCTTTCAATTCATCAATTTCGACAAAGCAGAGAATCTGCAATCGGGATTCACACTGCTCCACACTAAAGTGGGCCCGATCCTGGCTGGGTCTGGCTATACAAAGAAAATTTCTCCCAATTCACGAATGTCCTCACAAATAGTTTACGCCGCTAACACGATCAACGTTCCAGATTTAGATCAATTCTGGAAACTGGAACTAATAGGCATACAAGACAAACCCGAGATCAATGACGATGAAGAAGCCTTAAAACAATTTAAGCAAACGATTAGAAAATCCGATGGACGATACCAGGTCGCATGGCCATGGAAAGACACCAGTTCCAAATTAAGCGACAATTTCGAATTATGTCTCGGACGCTTACAGTCGTTAATCAAGCGACTTCACCGCAACCAACATCTACTTACCACATACAATGAAACAATCAATGAACAGTTAAGATCCAATGTCATCGAAAGGGTAAGTCATTTCACAAACCATCAAGGTATTATCCATTACTTGCCCCATCATGAAGTGGTAAAATCAGATAACACCACGACAAAGGTCAGAATAGTTTATGACGCTTCCGCTCACCTCAGAGGCAGGAAAAGCTTAAACGATGTCTTGTATCGAGGCCCTATCACCCTTCCCGATTTAGCTGGAATATTAATTCGACTAAGAACAATGAAAATCATCATAATAGCTGACGTCGAAAAAGCCTTCCTACAATTAGAGTTGCTGCCAACGGAACGGGACTGCACACGCTTTCTATGGGTAAAAGATATTCAGAAACAGGTGGACAGAGATAATTTAATATGCTATCGATTCAAAAGGGTTCCCTTTGGAGTGATATCGTCACCCTTTTTATTATCAGCAACTCTCAATTATCATTTGGAACATTATGAGACTGAAACTGCACGTGAAATCAAGAAGAATCTCTACGTCGACAATATCATCTTATCAGCGAGCCATGAAAAGGAAGCCTTGAATAAATATGAAGAAACAAAATCAATTTTCAAGGATGCGTCAATGAACGTGCGAGAATTCCTCTCAAATGACCAGACATTCAATGAGCAACTACCCAAGTCAGACCGAGCACGAATGAGTCAAATAAAGAAAATATTAGGGATTAAGTGGAATCCACACAAGGATCATATCCAAATAACATTAAATCCATGGACCGAACAAACAACAACAAAAAGAACTATTCTACGGTTCATCGCCTCACAATACGACCCACTTGGATTCCTAGTACCACTGATAGTACCGTTCAAGATATTTCTCCAAGAACTCTGGAGAAAAAACATACATTGGGATCAACCCCTCGACAATCAATTGATTGAAACCTGGAACAATCTTGTGGTAGAATGCCCAACTCATATCAAGGAAATCCCGCGATTCACAATCGATTTATCACAACAAATTACCTTTCATGTTTTCACCGATGCATCTACAGTGGCATATGCTGCAGTAGTATACGCCCATCAAAATACGCATACGTCGTTACTCTTTGCTAAATCACGATTAGCACCTATTAAAGGAATGACGATACCAAAGCTAGAATTACTAGCTATTCTCATCGGTGTACGCGCAGCTCAGTTTGTCATCAAACAAATGGAATTAGAAAATCCAAAGGTAGTGGTATGGTCGGACTCTCGCTGTGCACTACATTGGATACAAAACAATTCTCGTCTCCTACCAAAATTTATACAGAATCGTGTGGAAGAAATACAAATGGCGAAATTCGCATATCGGTATATCCCAAGCGAACACAATCCAGCAGACATTGCTACCAGAGGAACCTTTCCGACTCGTCTAATAAGTTACGAGCCTTGGTGGAGCGGGCCCACATGGATCAATGGTAACGAACCGAATTGGCCTCATTGGGAATACGACGTTCCACAAGAAGAGGATAACGAAGAAGATAAGAATATAGTAGCAACAACAACCACAGAAGAAATCATCAATACAAATCGAATCAATCTCCTGGAGGCAAAACGATTCAGTAAATGGACAAAGATGATAAGAACAACAGTAAGAGTACTAAAATTTCTCAAAAAATTATCTAAAGGAAAATTAACCTGGTTAAGCAGCGTATCAGAAAGGAATCCGATTACACCCGAGGATTACAATCTCGCTGCGGAACTACTAATAAAACAATCCCAATCGGAAGGTATAACAGCAGAAGAAGTGGAAAAGTACAATCTGCACTATGCAGACAGGTACTGGAGATTCCAAAGCAGACTACAATTGCCGAACGACAGGGAATACTCATCCCAAACAATATATCTCCCCAGACACAATCGAATAACAGAACTAATTATTCAACACCACCACGAAACGACGCATCATGGAGGTATCCCTCAAACTATTTCCAGAATAAGAAAGCTTTACTGGATTCCGAAAGGAAGGGCTGAAGTCAAGAAGGTGTTAAACCGCTGTATGAGTTGCAAACGCTGGAAAGCCAAGCCATTCAAATTGCCACCTATGCCAAATTATCCGCAAGAGCGGATCACTGAATCAAGAACGTTTGGACGAATTGGCCTCGACTATTTGGGGCCGATTACTGTGAAGATACAATTGGAAAAAGCAAAGCGATGGATCGCCTTGTTCACATGCTTCACCACCAGAGCGGTACATTTGGAAATGGTGGACGATCTATCAGCGGAAAGTTTCCTAACTGCATTAAGAAGATTTGTTGCGCGACGCGGCTATCCCGAACTCATTCTTTCGGACAATGCCACCCAATTTCAGGCAGTTTTTCAAGCCATAAAAACGCAAGAATCACAACTCTCTAATTTCCTTGCTGAGAAAGGAATCAAATGTAAGACTATAACACCGAGAGCACCATGGAGCGGTGGAATCTACGAAAGATTAATCGGCCTAACAAAAAGGAGTTTAAGAAGAGCTATCGGTAGACGACTGCTTAAGGAAGGGGAACTAATCACACTGATTATCGAAGTGGAAAGCATTCTTAATACTCGCCCCTTAACTTACGTAAATTTCGACGACTCAATTATTTTGCGACCAATAGACTTCATCATTCCCAATGCTTCTTTGTCTATACTGAATAGCAATAACGACAGAGAAGACGAATTCTCACCTTATAGTCTAACCACACAAGAAAGGTTACTTCAACACTGGTCGAATACCCTAGAAACATTGAAAACATTTTGGGAGATATGGAAAGACGAATACTTGAATAGCTTAAAGGATCGATACCAATTAGAACATAAATCTCCAAGAAATGTAGAAAAGAGACAGCCGATAGAAGGAGAAGTGGTACTGTTAGATGAGCCTCATGCACCACGTGGTACATGGAAACTAGCAAGGATAAAGAAATTAAACGTAGCCAATGATGGGTACGTCAGGAGCGCTCAGATCGAAACATCGTCAGGAAAACTTCTAAATCGACCTGTAAGCACGTTGTATCCACTTGAAGTTACTCCAGAAGAACAGTCTACTCCGGAGAACCCCGCGAACCCATCAGAGAGAGCAGAACCAATTATCCAAAACCGAAACACCACAACTAACACGAAGATTTCGAGTGAAAGTGGTGAGGAGCAACCTATTGCTCATCGAACACGGAGCCAGACAAATTTACAAAAAAGGGAGAAGTCAAATTTCGTTTTAACCAACTTACTGTTAACAGTAGCAATATCGATAATTCTACAAGCAGCAGAAACGAAGGAATGCAAATGGACATCAGGTGTTCCATTTAACATGCCTCAGAAATGGAATTGCAAAACAATTGAAACTCGTAACGCCACACCGATTCGAATTACAGTCTACACGCATGTTCATGTGAAAATACCTACCACCACCATCCCTTTACATTTAATTCAAACTTGTACTACCCATAATCAAGGTTTAGAAAGTGTTGAAGATCACAATGTTTTATCCTATAAACCCCAAATCTATCCATTAGAATACTTTTCGCTCTTCCCTCGGGAGTGTCGAGAACAAGCTCGAAATTCCACTAGAAATAATCTTTGTACCGAACAATCGAATTTAGCAAAGGGTCAAATTTAAATCAATGTATTTATATTTAAGCAAATCATGTTAATCATTTATTGTAAGTTTTATTGTAATTCAAATTCTTTAATGACTCATAGATGGTAATGTGTTAACAAATTCCCATGCTAATCTGTCATATTATCTAATGCACATCTTTCCAATCCTTTGTTTGTTATCTAATTCCGTTTACAAAAACTATCTTTCCCATAGCCTTCCTCCTAGCTTCCATTGTATCAATCGCTTTATCTCTCCACCCTCAAATCATGCTATATAAGGGCAATTACCACTCAACCGAAGGCATTGTTCCAGAAGTCTCCCCGTTGCTTAGCTCATCCTCCTCACTAAATTGTCAAACTACTGATTGCTTGTTTGGTTTAATTACCCAAGATAAAGCACTCGACTCAATTGTGCAAGTAAACCAACCCAATTCAATCCATTCACAACACA